TACTACTCTTCAAAGGTAAAAGTGCTGTGGGGAGCATGTCTCCCCCCCTCCCAGGCTGCACATGAAGTTGCTGCTCCAAACAGCTGGGACAGCCCCATGCTGCACCTGTGCTGGTTTGACTTTTGGGCCTTATGGTTACTGGGGCCTTTGCTCTCACTCCTGCTCCACCACCACATAGCTGTGGGACCAGGCTCAGTACTGGGGTAGCCTTGTTGTGGGGTGGCAGCTGCTGGGTGAGTGGCTGTGCCTGGCTCCCAGCAGCAGGGTGGGTTGGTGGGGCAGGAGAGTTGGGGGAGTTGGGTTTTGTGTGGGGACGGCATCACCACCCATCTGGCACTTGCAGGGCATCAGTGTGTGGGGAGGGGGTCTGTCCAAGGGGCACACGCATGCTGTGGGGGAGGGGGCATGGCAAGGCTGAGGGGCTGCAGCTCAGCTTGTGGGAGTTGGGGAGATTGGCACAGCTGGACTGGGGGAGGAGGAGCGGTTGTGATGCACCATCCTGTGCTTCTTGTTGTTCAGGCTTTGGGTATCGGTGCACCGTCTGGGGGCTCTGCTCTGGCTGTGCAATGGCCTTGCCTCCTTCTCTCTGGCTGTTGGTTTGGCGGGTGGGGGTGAGGGGTGGGGCTGAGAGCTGGGTGCAGGCCGGAGGTGCACAGAGGGGCTGTGAGAGGGGACTGCAGAGTGTGCAGGTGAGGGATTTGAACACAGGATGAGGAGGGGCCCTGGCATGAGGGGCACAGGCTTCTTGTTGTTCAGGCTTTGGGTATCGGTGCACCGTCTGGGGGCTCTGCTCTGGCTGTGCAATGGCCTTGCCTCCTTCTCTCTGGCTGTTGGTGCTTCCTGATGCTCTCCCTGACAGGCTTTTGAGGGGTGGGGGGGGGCTGAGAGCTGGGTGCAGGATGGAGGTGCAAAGAGGGGCTGTGAGAGGGGACTGCAGAGTGTGCAGGTGAGGGATTTGAACACAGGATGAGGAGGGGCCCTGGCATGAGAGGCACAGACACAGGGGGAAGGGTTCTGGCTGGGGCAGTTGGCTGAGGGGGCCCAACTGGCTGGAGTGGGCAGTGGGTGAGTAAAGCTTTTAAATTTTGATTTTTTTTATCATCAGTGCTGGTGTATCATGCACACGCCCTCCAGACCTACCCCCACATTGCTGAGCTCAGGAAATTGAAACTACCCCTGTTCCCCAGCCCAGAAGCAGCCATGGCTGCAGAGTCCCCCGTGAAAAGTGTCTAGGAGGAAGCGCTGTGTCCCATCTGTCTGGAGGATTTCACAGCCCCTGTCACTCTGGAGTGTGGGAACAATTTCTGCCAGGCAACCCTAAGACGTCAGTGCAGAGACACTGGGCATCAGAGTCCCCTCCAGCCCATCCGGCAGCTGACAACGATGGTGGAACTAGCCAAGCCGCTAAGTTTCCAGGCAGCATAGAGAGCAAGATGGGACAGTGTATGTGGAGAGCACCAGGAGGCTCTGAAGCTGTTCTGTGAAGAGGATCAAACTCCCATCTGTGTGGGGTGTGACAGATCCTGGGATCAAACGGTGGTGCCTATACAGGAAGCTGCCCAGGAGTACAAGGTACAGAGTTGCTGTCCAGTGTGATGGGAAATAAGGTTGGGTTTTAATTACAGGCTAATTTCATTGACTGTTACCTGGCAGATGTGTGACATGGCTCTTTAAAGCCTTCATGGTACAAGAGATGCTGTAAAAAGTAAATGCTCTGGCTGCGTGGCAACTTACATCAAGTCTTTACAGATACCTGAGGTGGGAAATGTGTCTCTGAATCCTGAGACCCAGCCCTCACTGGTGATAGGAGGGGTTTTTGTACGAGGGAAGGTGTTAACAATCAGAGGGGTTTAGCTCACAGGAGTGACAGGCCAGTCTATGGGAATGAGTTGCCTTAGGACTGGAGAAGAGGAGGTTACAAGCTGTTACTGATTGGCTGAGAAGCAGTACCGGTAGTCATCTGTCAGTTGCCTTATAGACCCACAATGCAATCAGGGCCCTGCACAGCACCCAGCAAGGGACAGTCCCTGGCCTGAGCAGGTCACAGTCTAGTTAGACAAATGGTGGGAAGGGAAAGTGAGGCAGCAAGTTCCCTCATGGTCACCAAGCAAATCAGTGGCAGAGTTTAGCTCAGACCCCTGCTCTCTCCAGGCTCAGTCCACGGCTACACTAACCACTAGTCCGCAGTCCCCCCACCCCTCAGCATCTCTGAACAATGATGAAGTGTGGCCGTTGAAGGGAAAGACGCTTTGCTACAGGCCACAGTCCAGCAGGGAGAGTGCTAGAGGAGGTCATTGGGCTGGATGCTGTGTGGGGCCTTGAGTCCACCCACAGCACCACTCCAGGCTGCGCAGGGCCATGTCAGGCACCACTGGGATTCGACTGGATTGTAGCAAGAGTTCAAACTGGTTAACTGATGAGCTAATGTTTATCGGTGCCAGTTACTAGTTACACTCCCCACTGCTCTCGGCAATGCCCGCTTCCCCTAGCAGCTAACATCAGTCTGCAGCTGCTGGGAGTCCCCACCTGCCGGCAGTCATTGCGGCCACTTCTGGAAGACCCCACGAGAGAGCCCTGCCCCCAGGAGAACCCATGTCTGCTACTGGCCTTGCCTGTCAGCAGGTTAAAAAATACTGTCACTGATAAAATTGTAATTGGTTACATGATTAATATTCTTAACCCTTTTTACCTCCCAAATCCCCTCTTGCATCATTCTTTATAAAGGTGCCACTACAGATCTGTCCCCCACCCTAACAGGCGTCCTGCTGCATCCACCCTCTCCTCCTGTCTCTTTTTCTATGGACAAAGCCACATCTGGGGCTGAATCCCTGCCAGACAGGGACAGAGCGCCACAAAACTGGGACTGTGCAGCTTAAAGGCAGACAAAACAGGCTCCCAACATCTTATGGGGTTTATTTCCGTTTCTTCAGGAAAAACGTGAGGCGCATTTGAAGTTTCTGAGGGAAGAGAGAGAGAAGCTGCTGGGATGGAAAATGTCAGCTGAAGGAAAAAGCCAGGAGTGTCTGGTAGGTGCCTGTGGCTATGGACTAGCAGGGACTGGCAGTGGGAGGGCTGTGTTAGGAGGCAGACTCCTGTGTGGTCTTGGTGAGGTTGGGCTAATTTGTCTCTCTCCTGGATCATGGATTGCAGGGTGAGATCCATGTAGACAGGCCCTGAGCATCCATGTCAGTGCATGAGACTTTCTCAGAAATCATCCCTGAGGAAGCTGAATGTCCCCCTGAAAGGCTGTCTGCTGGGTCTCATCAGCTGCTAGAAGTGGGCCTCATCCTCCTTGATTGGATCCACCTGGTCATCTCCAGCCTGATCCTGGCCTGCATATTTATTCCTGCCTCTGGAAATTTCCACTACATGCATCTGACGAAGTGAGTCTTTGCCCACGAAAGCTTATGCTCCTACACTTCAGTTAGTCTATAAGGTGCCACAGGACTCCTCGTCGCTAGAGTAGAGTCAAATGTCACACAAATTTTAGGTTTTTCCAAAAAGTTCTCCCTGCTGTGCATTCACCTCCCAATGAAAGGGCTGCATCCGTGTCCCAAACAGCCCTCTCCCTCTTTTCATACAGAAATAGACACAAGCCGGGAGGCAGATGATTGTCGCTGAGTTTCAGCAGCTGCATCAGTTCCTGGTGGAACAAGAGCGACTCCTGCTGGCCCAGCTGGAGAAGTTGGATGAGGAGATTGTGAAACTCCAGACTGGTGTACTCAGGAAACTCTCCGCCCAGATTTCTCGTCTCAGCGAGCTTATTGAGGAGCTGGAGGGGAAGTGTCCAAAGCCAGCAAGTGAATTCCTGCAGGTGAGAGTGAGGGAGAAACATCCCAGCTCCCTACACAGGGAAAGCAGTCTCCTATATCACAAGCGCTGGGGTCCAGTTGTCAGATCTCAGTGTAACACCTTTTGCATTGCTGACATGTGAGTGACTGTTGTGCTTTGTAGAGTTCCAGGCACAGAGACATTAGAGATGGCAAAGCCACATGTGCAAGGGAATCCAGGGGCCAGACCAGGGCCTCTTCCCCATATTTGTAAAATCCCTTCCCTGAGGTCCCCTGTGTGTGTCTGATGGGGCTAAGATTCTTTTGTCTCTTTTCTCTAGGATGTCAGAAGCACCTTGAGCAGGTACGTTGCTCTCTCTCCCCTCATGCTGCACCACACAGAGAAAAAGCTTGGAGCTGATGTTAGCACCAGATGTTGGATACAGATGTCTTTGACTCGTTTAATTCTGAGTGTCTCACTCTCTCACAGCAGACTCTGGAATTCCCCATTCAGGGGCACTGTCTGATGTCAGGTGTTTCCTAGAGCTGTCACCTCCCTGGGGTCTAGCTGCCTCAGGACTGTAGGGCTGAAATATGGGCCTGTCACTGCTGGGCACATTCAGCCCAGGGCAGCAGGGACCAAGAGTCTGTCCCACCCAACGGCTGTTTGGAGACCTGTGTGGAAGGAGCTGGGGAGCGGGGAGCTGGTGTCTCAGTCTAGTTCCCAGTGGGCAGATTTCTACAGCCCTTAAGGTGCTAAGGACCAGGAGGTTCCCAGGTGGAGGCCAAGGAGTGAGATGGCCATGGACGTGGAGTCTCAATTCCACTTTTATCCCCCAGCTGGTCTCCGGGCCAGAGGTGAAGAACAGCAATGGGACCTTTCAGAGGAAGGTTGCACAGTCATGGGCTGTGTTGCCCCTGTTCTCAGGCTGGGAGAACTGGAGGAGTTCTAATGATCACATTGCAGAACAGAAGGGGGATGCGGGGGGGTGGGAAGGGGGAGGAAGGAAGGTAAGTGTCTGTGAATTGCTGATATTAAAGGTAGGGAGAGTGGGATGTTTGTGAGTTAATGGTATTACAGGTGATAATTGGGGAAACTGTCTTGGTAATGGGTGAGAAAGTTCAAAGACTTGTTAAGTCCTTGTTGGTAAGTGTCGAATTTTAACATGAATGACAGTTCAGAGGATTCCCTTTCAAGTGCAGATGTAAAAGGTCTTTGTAGCAGAATGCAGGTGGTCAAGTCATTGAGAGAGTGTCCTTTCTGGTTAAAATGGCAAGAAACTGTTTTTTCTTTGTGATCTTGTCTGATATCTGTTTTGTGGGCATTAATCCTTTGGCGAAGTGTCTGAGATGTTTGTCCAATGTACATAGCAGACGGACACTTTCGGCACATGATAGCGTAGATTATATTTCTGGATGCGCAGGAATATGTGTTCTTGATCTTATAACTCACTTGGTTGGGTCCAATAATGGTATCAGCAGAATGAATATGTGGACAAAGCTGGCAACGGGGTTTGTTGCAAGGGAAGGTACCAGGGTTGGTATTAGTGTGGTATGTCCTGTGGTTATTGGTAAGAATCATCCTGAGGTTAGGTGGTTGTCTATAGGAGACTATGGGTTTATAAATGAGCAGATGCAATTGTATCGATCCATTGTCTATAGCCAAACCCTTTGATACTACTGCATGTGCTCAGATCCCACTGACAGAGACCAGAAACTTCAGGATCTCTAACAAGCATTTATAAACCTCAATTACCCACCTGGAGAAATAAAAAAGCAAATTGAAAGAACAGAAACCATCTACTTCAAGACAGACCTAAGAGAACCAACAATAGAACACCACTTGTCCTATAGCCCCCAACTTAAACCCGTCCAACACTTTATCAATAAACTTCAATCTATACTGGAACAGGATACTACCTCCAAGAAGCTCTGGGAGACAGACCCATAGGCCTCGGATAAAATCCAAGAAGAGCCGTGCTGCCTAAATCCCATGCATGGCAACACAACAGGATGATGTAGGAAACACGTGTTATTCATTTTGAGAAAAGAGGCGTTGACATCACAAAAATGTTTTCTCTGACACGTGACAGTGCCCTGCAACAGTGGGAAAGTGGAAGAGATTTGTAAAGATCATTGAGGATCCCATTGGCCACCTGATGGTACATTTTCATTATATTATTCACCAAGAAAATCTTTGTGTCAAGATTTCTGACTCTGAGCTTCACAATGGGATGGCTACAGCAGTGAAAATGGTGAATTTTCTTGTTGTTTGATCTGCCTTGATGCATTGGCAGTTCCAAGCCCTGCTTGAGAAGATGGACAATGCACAGAAGGGCTTTCCATTTCCCAGCAGTGTTCGTAGGTTGCGGACAATGCACAGAAGGGCTTTCCATTTCCTAGCAATGTTCGTGGGTTGGGCCATGGGATGGTTTGAATGCACTTTGTGGACTCTCCTGATGAAATTAAGATCTTTTTGCCAGAAAAAGGTCAAAACTTCCCTGAACTGGATGTACAAATGGCTCATGCAACTAATGTTTCTAGCTGACATCACCGCACACCTAAATAAACTCAACCTCCCTCAGCAGGGTGCAAACCGGACTCTTCTGCGTGTTTTTTAAAACAGAGAAGGTATTTGTTGTGAAACTTGCCATTTTTTTCTCAGGATATTGACACCTCAACTTTTTGCTATTTCTAGCATTATATTGACACCTCAACTTTTTGCTATTTCCAGCATCTGAAAGAACTATTGAAACATCGCCAGTGTTGCTGAGATTAAAATGTACATACACGAACTCACCGCTGAATTTTCTGTCAGATTTCAAGTTTTCCAATTGGCCCGATGTATTCCTTTCTAATCAAACCAGACAACTTTGTTGCCAGTGACATGGATTCAACAGTGCTTCAGTGGATGGGTGTTGATGATTTCGAAAGGCAATGCATTGAATCGCAATGCTCAGACTTATGGGTCTCAAAGTTTCGGGATCTGCAGCACACACTTGAGGCTACTGATACAGATCATGGGGTCTCTATCATGGCCTGTTGGAAAGCCCTGCCTGTGAAATTTGACTGTTTGAAGAAAGTGGCATTTTCACAGCTCTCAGCCTTTGGATCTACACACCTGTGAACATGCATTTTCACATATGTCCATCTCGGAGCCGGTTAACAACTGAACACTCAGAGGCTTGTGTGCTGCTTAAAGTATCAAACCAGGAGCCTGAGATCAGAGAAGTCGGCAAGGCAAAGCAAGGCCATGGATCATCTGGTCATCTGAAGAAGTGGTCTGTGCCCACGAAAGCTCATGACACCATTTACATGTTTTGTTAGTCTTGAAATGCTACCAGACTATTATTTTTTAAGGTTTTACTGAACGGTGAGATCTGCGTCTTAATTTCTTTATTAATGAAGCTGCTGCAAGTAGCACTATTATTGACTTTAAAAGTATCAGAGGCACGCAGACCTGCACATGGAGGTGAGTAAGTCAAATCACGTCACTCCACCTTGGAAAGGTTGCTGACCTTGGTCTACCTTGTGGCAAGGTACAGAAGCAAGAAGAGCTTCCTTTGCATTGCAAACTGGATTTTCTTTCCTTTTTTTTAAACCATTTTTTTTTTTAAACCTGAAAATAATCCTTGGGGAATCTCTGTCCCGGCCACACAAACATCACTTTTCCTTCTTCAAATCACAGTTTTTCCATCCCACCTTGTCACACGGAACCTCTTGTTCTTCCAGTGCTGCGCACACAAGCTCTGAGCTCCTGGTTCCCGTACTGCTCCCTGTGGGGGTTTAGCACGGTGAGTTGATGTGGAGGAGAAACCCAAAACCCCTCCTAGGACAAGGAGTTGCTCCCTTCTCTGACACTCCTGGGGCTTCCTGGGCTTCCATGGAATCAAACTCCTGGGGGCTCAGGGGAGGGAGTGTCCCAGCCCCTCCCTTGGCTGCTAGCAGAGAATTCCTGCCGGCTCCATGTGTCCTGCTGGAAAACCCCCTAGAGGGGCAGGAGAAACAGCACAGACACTTGCTGTGGGGTAAATGAAAGCAGAGGATGATGGCTACTCCCAGGGGGTTGTTTGGGTTGGTCTTGTGACCCTGGTGGATGAATCTGGAGGTTAATTGGAGTTTGTGTCAGTGGGTTTGGTTGGGCTCAGGCCCGTCCACTGGTCACCTCTTCGACCCAGACCTCTCTGAGCAGACCCTGAGCAGAGGGGGGATCCCTCACTCCCTGTTCTGACCCCTGCAGCAGTGGAGAATGGACCCGGCTTCATCAGGTTCTCCTGAGCTTCTAGTGAAGAGTAAAAGCTGGGATGGTCCCAGGAGTTTCCAGAAACATGGGCCAGACTTTTCAAAACCCTCACTCCACGAGAGCCAGATTTTGTCCTTGCCTAACAATGACAATGTTCCCTCTGAGCCCAGGGACAGGTCACAACCTCAGTTCCCTCCAGGGGGCACACAAAGAATTTGAATCCCGCCCCCCTCCTCAGCAGAACACTGCAGCACCCCCCTCCCTTGGAAACTAAATTGCGGGGTGGAGGACTTGGGAGTGTGGGGGCAAGGGCCATGTGGTGGCTGCTCCTGGGACCAGGGCTGAGTCTGTGGTGCATGGAAAGCAGCTTATTGTGCCTAACACGCTTTCAGGTGATGGCTGGACGAGGGCTCTCCTCTGTGTTTCACTGGCTTGGTTTTGTCCAAAGCATGTTATTGGTTTGGTTTTGACCAAAGGTTCCTCAACGTCATTGCTTATTATAGATCTCACACAGCCATAGCCAATGGAGTGTTCTCGTGAGAGACACTGGTGGAAAACGGGCGGCCCACACCCAGGTGTGGCCTCAGTAGGAGACATGTCTGAGCCAAGGAGAGTAAAAAAAAAAACCCTCGGGGATGGAGGACATGGTTCAGCTGAGTCTCAGCCACCTAGGAACAGGCTGTTTTTCTAACTCAGTCGTTTTCTACTCTGTTGAAACAAACAAAAAACAGTTTCCCTCCAGCTCCACCTCAACAAGCATTTTGAAGAGGTGACCTAGGGCCCTGTAAATACCTTGCAAAACAAGCCAAGCTCCAGCAAGACGACCAGGCCACACCAGATGCAAGCTCCGTTGCTGCCCAGCACAATGGGCCTGTCAGGATTTCCCTGTGGTGGAGCGTGGCCTTGCCTTCCTGCTACAGGAGTCCAGGGGGGACATGCTACCCTTTGGGAAGTGTCTCGTGTATAGTACAACATTAACAGCATCTTGCCCCTGTTCTTACGTTGTATCAGAGGAGTTTGTGGATCACCGTGTGGGGGTGCTGTTATATTTGTGTCATAGATCTGTTATGTAAAATTACAAGCACTATTTTAAAGACAAATTTCCGGACCACATGATAGATCTGTAAACATTAAGGCTGGGTCTATAGAGCACCCTTTGCTTGAAATAAGCTACGCAATACACATTAAGCAAATTGCATAGCTTATTTCGAGGCTATTTCAAAATAGCTTATTTCATAATTTGGTGGTGTATTCACAGAACCAAATTTCAAAATAACTCACTATTCCAAAATGCCCTTAAGACGCGTGGAAGGAGGGTTACCGGGATGTTGGAATAACCTGCCCCTTATTTTGAAATCTATTTCAAAATAATGGGCTGCTTGAATAGATGCAGAATAGCTATTTCAGGTACTTCCGGTATCCCGAAATAGCTCCGCAGTATAGACGTAACCTTTAGAGAGCAGCAAATACTAAAGTGAGCCCTCAACAGGGGAGAGGAACTGAGACTTGCATTTTGAGGTACATGTGGGGCTTGGTCAAAAGCAATTTGTTTTGGAACATGTCACGGTTTTGGAAATCTATCAGCACTATTCTTCAAAGGAACTTCAATGAAAATGCCCATTTTAAGGGAAATACCCACATGAACTGAATAGAAACAAATAACATTTATTAAAAAGTTATTTGTGCAGAAGTAACAAGACTCATGT